ACACGCTGCTCACACACTGCTCACACGCTGCTCTGCTGCTTTCAGCTCCACAGTGAACAGATACAGAGACTCACAGTATCAGCATGCAGCAGCAGGTTAGCAGGAAGTGTAGAGCTCAGTGTGTGCTGGGGCTGAATCACAACCTGCACGGCCTGATGAAAGCTACTACATGTACTACTACATGCATATAGTAGTACATGTTGACACCACAGAAATCAGAGTGCTGTAGGCAGCAGCTAAAAGCATCATGGGAGCTGTAGTTGAATAACACAGTAGATCGATGAGGAGCAGGACTGTGGGCGGGGTCAGACAGGTAACGGCGGCCACGTTTGATCGTGTCTCACTCTCTCAGGGATTTGAAGAGTAAGAACATCATGCTGCGCTCGGACCTCACGGCGGTGATCGGAGACTTCGGCCTCGCCGTTTGCTTCGAGCCAGGGAAACCGCCGGGAGAGACGCACGGACAGGTAAGCTGGTCTGACCGCAGGCGGCCAAGGAGACGAGCGTCGCTGCGTCGCTCACGCTCACTCGTGTGTGTGTCTGTGTGTGCAGGTGGGCACCAGGCGCTACATGGCCCCCGAGGTCTTAGAAGGAGCCATCAACTTCCAGAGAGATGCCTTCCTCCGGATCGACATGTACGCCATGGGCCTGGTGCTGTGGGAGCTGGTGTCCCGCTGCAAGGCTGCAGACGGTAACACACACACACACTCGAACCACACCTTAACAGCATAGCGAGGGTTTACCTGACGTCTCAGGAGCGGATGTTGGTTCCGCCCATCTTTAATATGTGGTGTGTTCAGGTCCGGTGGATGAGTACATGCTGCCGTTCGAGGAGGAGGTTGGTCAGCATCCATCACTGGAGGACCTGCAGGAAGTCGTGGTCCACAAGAAGATGAGACCAACCATCAGAGAGCCGTGGCTCAAACACAGCGTGAGTCTGAACCTCAGTCCATGAAACATCAGGGGGCCAGATCTGGATCCCTGAGGGACACCTTCTATCATCAGCCCCTTTATTTTCAGGTGTTTTGTACTGTAAGACTGAGCAGTATTAGAGGGAAACGTTTCCCTGTGGAGGTAAAAGACTTGCTTGTCTTAGAAGTTGTATTTAAGCAGAGATGTGTTCGTGTATATGTAAATATGAAGAATGGTATCATCAGTGTAAAAGTGTCCTGTGCTGAGCTGTGGGGTTTTCATGTAAACATGAGTGGGCCTAGCATGGATCCCTGAGGGACGCCTTCTATAAATCATGTGGACCTGCAGGTGTCTGGAGGTGTTTTCAGGTAAAGACGCCACAGTTATGTGACAGAGCTGATCCACAGCAGGGCTGTTGTGTAAGGCGTGTGCACGTTTATGCTGATGATGTCATCCTTTACAACAGCGCCCTGTGTTTGACGAAGGCCTTTTCTCGATCGCAGTGCTTCCTTCGCTAACCCCACCTCCCCCATGTGCTGCTCTCTGCAGGGTCTAGCTCAGATCTGTGAGTCGGTCGAGGAGTGCTGGGATCACGACGCCGAGGCTCGCCTGTCGGCCGGCTGCGTGGAGGAGAGAATCGCCCAGATCCGCCGCCTCACCGCCACCATCGCCCCACCTACCTCCGAAAACAACACCCTGCTGGGTTCCTCTGTCGCACCTGTTCCCATGGTAACTAACGTGGACCTGCCGCCCAAAGACTCCAGTATATGAGTCTATGAAAGAAACGAGGTGCACACACCACGCCATCGCTCCGCAGTGGAATTTCGGGCGTGAGAGCAGCTGCTATTTTACTCTCTGGACTTCTTTTGGACTCTTTGTGATTCCCTCTCGTCCGTCGGGACGGAGTACCAGCACACCTCGTTGTTCCTAAGTTTTCCTCTCAGTGGGACTCATTCGTGTCTTTTTAACCAGGCGTGTGTTTTATGAGAAAACGCGTTCAGGGTCCGACTCAGTGAATGCTTCGATCTCCAGGTACCTCAGCGACCCTTTTTATTCGCTCATTTTTTACCGCTTTCCTCTCTCATTCCTGCCTCTGCGGTCTTCTACTCACATCTGGATCATATCTACCCACCTGACAACAGCGTCACCTAGCAACCACCTGTCACCAGGCGACTACAATGCTGCAAAACCCACAGAGGAGCCCGAGACTGTTACACAGCAAACACACACCCACAGCGACCGCTTTACTACTTTACCTGGACTTTAGTTTTTATCGGTCTCCTGCGACAACACGTCTCTGTTTGCATCTTTAAATCCAACGGACGGAAACAGGAAGTGATGTCAGACGGAAAAAGGCGAAATGGGCCTGTTTGTTTCCAGTGTGGCGGTTTCCGTTCTCCCGTGTTTTGTGTCTCAGTCTTCTCGCCTGGGGGTGAAGGCAGAGAGACTGTGATTGGTTGGCCTCACATTGCAGAGGTGTGATTGGCTGACTGCGCTCAACCACAGCATTTTGGTTGGTTTGGAAATAATTTCTCAGGTAATCAAACCTACAGGTGAATGATGCATGCATTCAGGTGTGTGTGTGTGTGTG